CCTCTCTTTTTTAGCTAACTATTAAATTGAGGAGTTTTGCTATGAGTTAGTGTCATTTCAGAACAGCATTCTCTACACCGGGCAATGGAGCGGGCAGGAGGACTGCAAATTCCAGGCCAGCCTGTGCTTCATGGTAAGATAAGGAATAAATAAAAAGAAACACCAAACAAATACAAACAAAAGCCACATCCTCTATTTATAATCCCTAAGCCCAGAAACTATTTTCTATTAATTTTTTGATATTTCAAGAGACATGATGCCAAATTTTTGTCTTATGGAGACCTTACATTTTCCCTTGATTTTTTTTTTTTTTTAATCAGCTTTCAGTTAAAACTCATCTGATCTATAATGCTTCCCATGGAGTTCAGAACTGTGTCTGTCACTGAAATATGTAGACCAGAACATGCCCTGACCACAAGACAAAACTCCCTGTTCTACATCTTAGGCTTTCAGAGAATGAAAGCTGAAACACACGTCTGGAGAGTAGTTTTCTACCTATTCCTTTTCTCACATGTGGGGGTGAAGTCAAGGCAGAAAAAACAGAGAATGAGCGATCCTGCTAGGTGGGTTAGAAGAAAAGGGGATTCTGAACATTCGATTAGGGTCAAGTCTGGAGATTAGGTAAACCATGAAAACACAATGTGTTTGTCATGAGGCCTAGTATTAGAGGCCTGAAAATGAGAAGAGCCGGCTAAAGAAAGAAAAGGAGTCTGGAATGGTGGTTACCAGCCTTCAAGAAGCGGAGGTGAGAGGATTCCTCTGAGTAAGAGGTCAGCCAGTCTGGGCTACAGTGTGAGAAGCTGGCCTGACCGTGCCTGCCTGTAATTCCATCACTGTGGAGGTATAGATGGGAGGATCAGGAGTTCAAAGCTCTCATACAAACAAACAAACACCAGAAAGGTGGGGAGGGAATGGGGTGGATTCTGTCTGCGTAACAGATAAAAAAGGTAAATACTGAAGTTATAGAGCTGGCTTATTAGGTAAATGCACTTGCTGCAAAAGCCGGACTGAAAACCCAGTTCAGTCCCCAGACAGCTGTCCTTGGCTGCTACATGCACTCTGTGGCACACTGCCACCCCCACAGCAACATTATCGCACACGGCATGATAAACCAAACAAAGGAACAGAAAGGAAATAGAAAAGGAAGAGGAACTAGAGGATCCAGTCTTGAGAAGAAAGGAAAGATCCTAAGGGTGTGGATTTAAAGCTGGAAGCAAAAAGGTTATTTATAAATTTAAACCAACAAAGGAACAAAATAATCAAAGATAGAGCTGGAGAGGGACAAGGACACAGGACAGAATTATTTGGAGGTGGGGTGGAGATGGCGGGACACCTCGTGAGGCTGGAATGGAGAGAGAGAACAGGTGCTTTATACACTCTGTCCTCTTTCTTCCTTCCTTCCTTCCTTCCTTCCTTCCTTCCTTCCTTCCTTTCCTTCTTTCTTTTTTTGTATTTAAGAAGCAAAGTGGAGGGCTGGAGATGGCTCAGAGGTTAAGCTCTCACTGCTCTTCCAGAGGTCCTGAGTTCAATTCCCAGCAACCACATGGTGGCTCATAACGGTAATGAAATCTGATTCCCTCTTCTGGTGCGCATGAAAACAGAGCACTCATATAAATAAGTAAATCTTAGGGGGAAAAAAAAGAAGCAAAGTAGAGAGCAATGTCAAAGGGAGGCGAGGGCCCTTCTTGACTTTGGCTTGAGATAGGTAAGCAATACTGAGCAAAAACGATCTTCAGGGAACTGGGAACACTGCCTTAAGGGGGAGAGTGGCGGTGAAGAACCAGACTGGGGGAATGAATTCCCCCAGAGAAAGAAGATGAGCTACTTCCAGGGTCTAGAAGTTTGCTAGTGGAAGTCTAGAGTTAAAGTTCTGAAGAATGGAAGAGGATCAGCCTGTGTCTGCTAGCTCCAATGGAGAAGCTGTTGTTTGCTTCTGTCGCGCGCAGCCCTCGCCGATAAGGACGACGCAGCAACAACGGATTTGTCCAGCAGCAACTTTATTGTGAGGCTCTTAACAGCAGATGGAGAAGGACCCAAACCCCGGGTTGTGCTCTGCTTAAATAGCCAGCAGCGCGACCTGTCCGTCTGTAATTGGTGCTCCACACAAAACCCAATTAGCATGTGGTCTCCAAATGGAGGACCACACAAGCCTACATTAGCATAAGGCGGCGCATGCGCAGATCGCAAAACAATGCTGGCAAGAAGAACCAGGAAGCAGGAAACCGGCGCCATCTTGTAATGGCGGGAGCGGCTCCCGACATGCTTCCCCATAGAAAAACGCATCCCCATAGAAAACTGGGAGAGGCAGCAACTTTCCTGCCTGAAGCCTGGGTGCTAGGTAGGCGCAGCAAGAGAAACGCAGACCAGAAAGCTACCCTATGCTCAGTCTACACTCAACACGTGGGCTAGGATGACGAAAGTACTCACCTGCTTTAAAAACAAACCAGACAGGGGCTGCAAAGGCAGTTAAGAGCAATCGTGCCTCACAGTTCTGGATAACTCCAGTTTCAGGAGGACCCTCTTCTTCTTACCTAGGAAGGCATCAGGCATGCACATGAAACGCACACATACAGGAAGACAAACTGCTTATACCGCACACACCTTAATACAGCACATGCCTTAATACGGCACATGCCTTAATACGGCACACGCCTTAACCCAGCATTTGTGAGGCAGATATCTGAGGCCAGCCTGGTTGATGGAGTGAGTTCCAGGACAGCCAGAGCTACACAGAGAAACCCTCTCTCAAAAAACTGGAAAAGAAGATAAAATTAAAACAGTATGGGTTGGGTGTGGTACCTGGAGAAATGGCTCATGGGTTAAAGGCACTTGCTCTAGTGGATGTCCTGGATTCGATTTCAAGAACCCACAAGGCTGCTCCTAAACACCCATCACTCCATTCCTAGCAGATTCAACATCATCTTCTGATGTCTGCAGGAACTAAGTATGAGGGTGGTCCATCTAGTCACACACACACACACACACACACAACACTCATACATCCAAATCTTTAAAAAGTGGTCCCTGTAAAACGGGCTGACAATTATAACTGCTGCACAGGATTCTGGCTGGATTTAAATGAATGTACACCGCACACAGCCATGGAACAATACCTAACAGCCAACACTATGTAATTGTTTGCTCATTATTATAAACCGATCCAACCTCCTAAGCTCTTGGTTTCAATCTGTTTTAGTTGTGTTTCTTATTGCTATAATCAAATACGTGACAAAAAGCAACTGAAAGGTTTTTTTTTTTTTTTTTTTTTGATGCATGGTTCAGGAGACAGAGTCCATCAGCACAGAGAACGCGCGGCAGTGGAAAGGGCTTGCTCACATGCCGTTGGATCGGGAAGGAGACAGAGTGGGATGCTGGTCCTTCAGTGGCTTTTTCCTCTTCCTCTTCTGATTCAGTCCAGGACCTCAGCTGAAGAAATGGTGCTGGCCACATTCAGAGTAGCTCTTCCCAGTCACGCCCAAAGAAGTGCCTCACTGGTGTCCAAGGTGTTTACTAATCCAGTCAAGGTGACAGAGGAAAGTCACCATGTAAAGGTCCACCTTTAAGCCTCATAATGGCACATGCCCAAGTCCAGCACGAGGAGGTAGAGGCCTGTCTGGTCTATGTGGTGAGTTCCAGGACAGGCACGAGAGTGAGGCTCTGTCTCAAAAAAAAAAAAACCAAATACAACAAAAGCCCACCTCCACTAATAACACATACAACAAAAGACCAGCTCCACTAATAACCGAGTGCTTCGGCAAATGCCTCTCATTATCTTAGGGAGGCAGTACACCTACCTGGGTTTATAGGGTGACACAGGCACCTGAAAGAACTTGGACTATATATATATATATATATATATATATATATATATATATATATATATTTTTTTTTTTTTTTTTTTTAAGGCAGGGTTTCTCTGTGTAGCCCTGGCTGTCCTGGAACTTACTCTGTAGGCCAGGCTGGCCTCAAACTCATAGAGATTCGCCTGCCTCTGCCTCCGTCCCCCAGCTAATAGGTAAATTATAGCCTCCCGCCTATAATAAGCATTTAGGGCTGACATCAGATACTTTCGCATTGTGCTTAGCACACACGTCTCATTCAATCTCAAAACACCTTCAAGAGGTCAAGTACTGTTATTATTTCCATTTTATAGACAAGAGATGTCGCAGGGAAAGCAGCCTATGATTTATCCAAAGTCAGGCAATGAGCTCATAGAAGATTCTAAAGGCCATGCTCATGAAAAGTAGATTATAGATGTGGTGGAACCGGTTAGCAGCGCTGTAAATGATTGACTTTGTATAACTGTCATTTACATAGAGAAACAGTTTAAACTCTGACAAAACTTGTTGGAAAATGTCTGATTTTTAAGGTAAATGAAAGAAATCACTGGATTTTTTTTTCTATGTTTACTAAAGAAAAAAATTTCAAATTTGAGTTGTTGGCTCAAATCTGTAAATCCCAGCATTCAGGAGTCCTAAAGCAGGAGAATCACCCCGACTCTGAAAAAAAAAGAAAAGAAAAAAGAAAAAAACCTCAAAAAGAAAACAAATTACACTTGGCTTCTTCTGTATGTCCGTTGTGCACAGCCGCAGGGGGACCGCTTCCTGCCCCTTTCCCCAGGCCCGGCTCTCCTGCTAACTTCCCCAGTTTCTGGCTTGTGGTTTAGGCGAGCAGAGGATCTACACCGTGGGGCCTCTCCCTGTCTGGTGGCCTTTAGTTTTCCTGGGCGGCAGATGGGCAGAGACCACGTAACGGCCTCCCGCGCGTGGGCGCACCCGCGACGCCTCCTTTCCGCCTGCTGCGGTCTTCCCGCACAAAGTGACGGCGCTGCCCCGCCCACCCCAGCGAGCCACGGCACAATCCTTGAACTACAACTCCCAGAGGGCCAAGCGGCGGCGCGCTCACTCACGTCTAACTACATGTCCCAAGAGGCATCACGCGCCGCGCCTCCTCCCACTGCGCAAGAGCGGAAACGCCTTTGCTTTCCGGCTGGTATCTAGGTGAGCGTTGTGCGTGGTTGGGCTGCCGTCCTGTCCGGAGGCTTCTGCGACGCTAATTTCGGGCCTGTGGCTGTGCAGGTAAGGCCGAAGGACCCCAGTTCACCTCTGCGAGGCGGAGCAGCTTTCGGTGCCGGACCTAGCCTCGACGAATACTGGACCTAGACGTGCGGTTCAGAATCATAAATAGTAACTTATATTCCTTCCGCAGTTTATAATTTACAGTGTTTTGTTTTTTCTGCTGTGGTCTCTGCTGTTCCCTGAACAGCGCTGTTACGGGAGGCCGTGGAAAAGCCCACATGTGACAGAGAGGAGGAGTGAACCGCTAGGAGTTGGTTCACGTATTAAGGGACTGTAGTAGCTACTAGGTCCCAGAGCCGGACCTGCAGCCGTTTTCTGATTCCGAACCCGGTATCCTGTTCCGTGCATACTATCCAGAGGCTTGTTTCCTGTTGGCTAAGAGAGTTGGGGGAGTGGGCATCTGTTACTTTGTTTACGGATAGAACGATGGAGGGAAAACTCTGCAGATCAAGTCTCCTGTTAGATCCGTGGGGAGTTTTCTGCGTCCTAGTGATTCATTCACTCAGGGTTTTTTATTGAGTTGCACTACTATTCTACCTACTAAAGTAGCAAACAAAAAAACTTCTACCCTAGTTGTGGGGAGACCGGCTGTACACATTGAGTCTGGAGGCAGTAAGGACTGTGCAGATAAAGATAAAGGAACGAAACCACTGGAAGGGTCTTTTTTTTTTTTTTTTTAATTTTTGTGATAAGGTTTCTCTATGTAGCCTTGGCTGTCCTGGACTCGTTTTGTAGATCAGGCTGGCCTCAAACTCACAGAGATCCTGTTGACTCTGCCAACCTGAGTGCTGGGATCATAGGTGTGCCACAACGCACCCAGCTCATGGAAGGTTTTGAATGATGGCCTGGTGTAGTGGTTTGATCTAATGTTTAATCTGGATTATAGGCACAGCAGCTATACAGAAAAGATGAGCGAAGAATCCAATGATGACAAGAAGCCATCGACCAAATTTGAACTAGAACGAGAAACGGAACTTCGATTTGAGGTGGAAGCATCTCAGTCAGTTCAGCTGGAGTTGTTGGCTGGCATGGCGGAGATCTTCGGCACAGAGCTGACCAGAAACAAGAAGTTCACCTTCGATGCTGGCGCCAAGGTGGCTGTTTTCACTTGGCATGGCTGTTCCCTCCAGCTGAGCGGCCGGACTGAGGTGGCTTATGTCTCTAAGGACACCCCTATGTTGCTTTACCTCAACACTCACACCGCCTTGGAGCAGATGCGGAGGCAGGCGGAAAAGGAAGAGGAGAGAGGTCCCCGAGTGATGGTAGTCGGTCCTACTGATGTGGGCAAGTCCACGGTGTGTCGACTGCTGCTCAACTATGCCGTGCGTTTGGGCCGCCGTCCTACTTATGTGGAGTTGGATGTGGGCCAGGGCTCTGTGTCCATCCCTGGTACTATGGGGGCCCTGTACATTGAGCGGCCAGCCGATGTAGAAGAAGGGTTCTCCATCCAGGCCCCTCTTGTGTATCATTTTGGCTCTACCACTCCTGGCACCAACATCAAGCTCTACAATAAGGTGAGAGCTGGAGCTAAAATGGGATGGAGGGAAAAGTTGCAATCGGGAGGAAGTAGGGGAGTTTGTTACTTAAAATTTTCCCTGTGAACTTAATTACGTTATATATATGTGTGTGTGTGTATATTATATGAAATTTTTTTTGGTATGCTATTACTGCCAGATGATTTCAGAAAAGACTATTTTAAAACTAAGTCAGCTTCAGACTGCTAAATATCTTGTGGCTCTTAGGAATTCATTATTACGAGAGAAGTCAGGAAGCAGAGGGCTTGGAGACATGCTCAGGGATTAAGAGTCTGCCAAACCTTTAATCTTAGCAGAAGCAGAGGTGGGCAGATCTCTGTGCGTTTGTTCCAGGACATAGGAAGACGCTGTTGCCAAAAAGAAGGCGAAAAACCAAAGAGTACTGTTCCTATCGAGGGTCAGTTTGGTTCCCAGCACCCATGTCACGCTGTTTCCAGCTGCCTATCACTCCAGCTCCAGACAGATTTAACGCCTTAGGCCTCTGTGGGAATCTGTACTCATGTGCACAAGTATATATACAGATACATAATGAAAAATAAAAAATAAAAAGGAAGCTGAAGTAGCAAAATTAATCCATGTTATGGAGTCAAAACCGTAGTAATTAAAAATATGAATTTTGAACTTGGTATTGTAGCTGATCCCTATAGTCCTAGGACTTGGAAGGCTAGCTAAGGGTTTCAGGAGTTTGAAGCTAGGCTAGAGCTTTGTATTAAGACCCTGTCTCATAAAAGCATAAAATTGGGGGCCTGGGGCTGAGGGTGTAGTTCAGTTGCCAAGAAGTCTCAAGGCTTTTGGTTGGACGCCCAGTCTGGTAACTCTTAGGTCCAGCCCCGGGGCTCACATCCTCACACCAGCATGCGGACAGTCAGTGCACAGGAGGTGAAAAGAAAGAAAACACTAAGAAAATACAGACAGATTGATCTGGTTCTTTGTTCTCGCTTTGATCCTCTTCCAGATTACATCCCGTCTAGCAGACGTGTTCAATCAGAGGTGTGAAGTGAATCGCAGGGCTTCTGTCAGTGGCTGTGTCATCAACACCTGTGGCTGGGTCAAGAGCTCGGGGTACCAGGCCCTGGTGCACGCAGCTTCAGCCTTTGAGGTGGATGTGGTTGTCGTTCTGGATCAAGAACGACTGTACAACGAATTGAAAAGGGACCTGCCTCATTTTGTTCGAACTGTGTTACTCCCAAAATCAGGGGGTGTGGTAGAACGCTCCAAGGACTTCCGGCGGGAATGTAGGGACGAAAGGATCCGTGAGTATTTCTATGGATTTCGAGGCTGTTTCTATCCCCATGCCTTCAATGTCAAATTCTCTGATGTGAAAATCTACAAAGTTGGGGCGCCCACCATCCCAGACTCCTGTTTACCTCTGGGCATGTCTCAGGAAGATAATCAGCTCAAGTTGGTACCTGTGACCCCTGGCAGAGATATGGTGCACCATCTCCTGAGTGTCAGCACTGCAGAGGGCACAGAGGAGAACCTTTCTGAGACCAGTGTGGCTGGCTTCATAGTTGTGACCAGTGTGGACCTTGAACACCAGGTGTTTACTGTCCTGTCTCCAGCCCCCCGCCCACTGCCTAAGAACTTCCTTCTCATCATGGATATCCGGTTCATGGATCTCAAGTAGTAACTAGCAAGGAGCCTCACTTTCTGGGCCATAGAGTCTGGCCATCACCAAAGGGAGACAGAATGAGATACGGACTCTTATTAAGGCAGCTGACAAGGAACAAATAGTAGAAAACACATGTTCTACCTCTTAAAACAGTGGTAGTAGCCAGACTCTTGTAATCCTAAACCAAACAGAGAACATGAAAGGAAAATCTGATTATTTTTTAAGATTGCCTAAGGTGCCACTCTTAATAGTCCAAGATCATAGAGAATTCCATGTCTTCCACTGCTACCATGTGGGTATTTTTGTTACCACTTTCTAGTCCATATATATATATATAGTACTTGTTGTAATATTTAACCAGGATGAAAGTGAGATAAAGTTCAAACTTGAGAAAACAATTATTTTAATAAATATTATTGTCATAGCATAGAAGTTGGTGTGATTCTGTTTTAATTTTAATGCTTGCCCCTAAGCATTATAGAAACTGTAGGAATGATTGCTAAAATTCTGTGAGGCGGGAAAAACGTACTGTGAGCCAGGCATGTTTTTATGATGGTAAACCTGTTTCCATTGCTGGGTATACTTGGAAATAGCCCATTACCTTTTCTTTTTTTTCTTCTCTTTCTTTCTTTTTCTTTTTTTAAATTTGCTTATTGTATGAGTGTTCTATCTGCCTGGCATCAGATCCCATTATAGATGGTTGTGAGTCACCATATGGTTGCTGGGAATTGAACTCAGGACCTTTGGAAGAGCAAACAGTGCTCTAACTGCTGGGCCATCTTACCAGTTGCTGCTCCTTACCTTTTTATTACAGCTATCCTACCTTTTGTCTGTTTGTGTGCAATCAGGTCCCAAAGCCCAAATGTACTAGGATTTTTGGGCTTTAAGCTGGGAAAGCCCATTTTGGTGTTTCTTGTCTGAACTTTAGTCAGTGTACAATAAATTTATCCATTTCTTCATTCCACAACTCATCAGAGCATGTACTTATCAGAAACTGTTCTAGGTTGCAGACAAAGTTTTAAAGCTTACAGCAAAAGAATTAAAAAAAGGCAAATAGTATAGAGAAGTTTAAATTTGGGGATATGAGACAGTCAGGAAGGGCACTTTCTGAAAGTACATCTTGAGTAAGACCTGGAAAAAGGAAGCAGTACTTGTGTAACAGCTTCCCAGTAGAGGAAATGGCAGAAATCCTAGAAAGGACAGTTTTAAGTTCAGTGACTGGGTGTGATGAACCAAAGTAAAGGTGAGGCTGGAGGGAGCTGGAAAGGTCAGGTAAGGTATGCTGTTCATCAATCAGAGTCAAGGGATTTTATCCACAGCAGTGGGAGAGACCAGAGGACTAACCGGGTCATTGAGCAGAGGAGTGGCACAGTGTGCTTTACACGGGACATTTCTTTCTTGCATCTTCATACATGATTAGTTTTGGTTGATTCTCCTACTGTCCCCTCTGATTCCCTGTCTTCTGTCCCTGTGTCCCCATCTGCCTCCAGTACCCCTCACATAATGTTTTATTACTTCACTCTCCATTTGAAGAGATCATTGCTGTGTGGATAATTGATTACAGATGGCAGGCCTCTGGAGAAGACAAAGCCCAAGTGATATATATTTTTGTGTCCGTATCCAGGTGTGAATTGGTGGAGGACAGAATAAGGATTACAGAGAAGGGGCTGGGAGAGCTACCATCTGTGCTTTGGGATATTTTGAAAGTAAAATGGATAGCACTGAAAGAGTGATACGGAAGAGAAAGTGGAGTCAATGAGGAGAGGCACTGAGTATTTGTGCTTTAAATTTTATGTGTATGTATGTGTACCACATGCATGCATGGTACCTGGGAAGGCCACAAGAACATCAGACCCCTGGAGCTGGAGTTTAGCCCGTGAGTTGCTTTGTGGGTGCTGGGAGCCAAATGCTAGCCTGTGGAAGATAACAAGTATGCTCTTTGGTTTTGGTGGGGTTTTTTTTTGTTGTTGTTGTTTCTCTTCTGAGACAGGGTCTCTCTGTGTAGTCCTGGCTGTCCTGGAACCCAATCTGTAGACCTGGCTGGTCTCCAACTCAGAGATCTGCCTGCTTCTGCCTCCCAAGTGCTGGGATTAAAGGCGTGAGCAATCATATCTGGCCTTTTTATTTTTCTCTATTTATTTTTTGGTAAGCAAGTGCTCTTGCCTCTTGAGCCATCTCTGTGTGTGTTTGTGCATGCTTCTTAGAAAGGGATTACTTTTGCATTGAGCCATCTCTTGTGTGCCTTGCCTGTGTATTTGTGTTTATGCACACTTCTGAGAAAGGGATTACTTGCACTCAGGACGAAGCTGGCAGTTTTCCTTTCTCCACGTCATGAGTGCTGGAGTCACACTGTCACACCTGGCTTATTCTAGGACAGCCAGAGGTAAACAGAGAAACCCTATCTCTAAAAACCAAAACCAAACCAAACCAAAATTTATTTATGTATGTATCTATTTATTTATTCGATACAGGGTTTCTCTGTGTAGCCTTTCTGTCTTAGACTCTGTGTAGACCAGGCTGGCCTCGAACTCAAAAGAGATCCACCTGCCTCTGCCTCCCAGAATGCTGGGGTTACAGGTGTGAACAACTGCTCCGGGCTACTGTCTGAGACAGGGTTTCTCTGTTTTAGCCCTGGCTGTCCTGGAAGTCACTCTGTAGACCAGGCTGGCCTTAACTTACAGAGCTCTGCCTGCCTCTGCCTCCTGAGTGCTAGGATTAACGGATTAAACCACCATTGTCTGCTTTTTAAAACATTTAAAAAAATAATTTTAAAAATAATTTTATTCTTATTTTATGTGCATTGCTGTTTTGCCCTCATGTATGTAGGATCCCCTAGAAATGCAGTTAAAGATGATTGTGAATTGCTATGTGGTCATTGGTAACCGAACCTGGGTTCTCTAGAAGGGACAGCCAATGCTTTAAACTGCTGAGCCATTTCTCCAGCCCCTCAAATTTTTGTTAATTTTTTTTATGTGAGTATCTCTGTGTATGATGTATGTGTGGGGAATGCTTGCCACAGCACATGTGTCGGGGTAAGAGGATTGGGGTCATTCCTCTTCACCTTTATGTGGGTTTTGAGGATGGAGTTCAGGTCACTAGGCTGTAGAGCCAAGCACCTTTGTTTACCTGCCATCTTGAGCTCTCTCACCTGTATTAGTCATATATATTGTTTATATATGTGTGTGTTGAGCTATATTATTTATTTTGACAGGGTCTCACTGTATAGCCCAAGCTGGTTTTCAACTGAGACTCTCCTACCTTAGCTCTCCTGGGAAAGTAAAGGATTAAGAGACCAGCAAGCTAGTTTGGGTGTTTTTGAAGTCTGAGCCGGTGCTCATCCCTTTGGAGGTTTAGCAGAGACAGCATCTGGAGCCCTAGAACAGGTTAGGGCTGAAAGGTCATGACAGCCATTGACTTTTAAATACTGAAAGGGGTTTCAGCATTTAGTAATGTAGGTACTGTGAGAATGGAAATAAGGAAACAAAGGATGGAATTTAAAGGCCAAATGGGTTTGGGATGTAGTTCTAGTGGTACAGCTTTTGCTCAACAGGCATTAGATTCCTTTCTCAGCACTGCAAAAAATAATAAAAAAATAAAGTAAAAATGCAGTGGTGGGAGATGGGAGCAGGATTCAAAGTATAATGGGCACTAACAAGACTTCACTCTGGATCCCATTGGTGTGTATCAAAACTGTTCTTGAAAAGTGTAGGTTTGGAGCCATGAGGATTCAAGCCCCACTGAAATAGACTTTAGAGGTACTGTAAGCTGAGGAGGCAGGGTGCAGACTCGTCTTTGAAGAAGCATTGTTGAGAGGGTAGGGTGGAAGCTAGCAAGAGGCCTTGGAAGTCAAGGCACTTGTTGCCAAAGCTGATGGTCTGGAGAAAACTGACTCCCACACTTGTCCTCTGACCTTCACATGTATTTTGTGGTATGTGTGTGCCTTTACCACCTCACAAAATAGCAAGAAGAAAGACCTAGGAAAAAATGCAGTAAGGGGAATAGGAGCCAGAGAACAGAGGGGAAGACTCTTCCTTCAAGCGCAGAGAATTTGACAGATAAGTGATACTAGAGAAAGCATCAAGTATTTATTACTTGATAAATATGTCAAAGTAACTTATTTCAAGTATGATGATCTGGATAATATATTGTTTTACTCTGCACTATTTTTAAGAAGTTATATCCTATCATATTTTTTCTGGGGTACCCATTTTGTGATCCTAAGGAAAGGAAAATGGCATCTTTGTTAATCTTGGGACAGTGCTTGCCTCTGCTAGTGCTCATCCTGCTAAAACTGGCTGACAATCCGGTAGTCTAATGTCCCTAGTGACCCTGAGTGTTCAGAATCTCTGTCTGCAGGGTGGCATGCTTTTTCCGTTTCCTATGGTCTGCCCAAGAGACATGACTGCTCGCACAGGTTCTTAGTAGAAAATTAGGGCTGGCAGGACGGGCAGTGGGTGAAAGTGCTTGCTGGGCATGCCTGACAACTTGAGCTCCATATCTGGAAGCCAGGAGAGGCAAGAACCAACGCATGAAAGTTTTCTGAAACTCTGCCTGTGCCCCTCCTCCTTTTCCCTCTCCCTCTGTCTCTCTTTCTCTCTCACAGACAAATAAATTTCCTATTTAAAAAGTAGGAAAATTAAAAAAAAAAAATGCTTAACTTGTGAAGTGCAGAAAGTAAAGATTTAAAATCCTGGAGAAATGAAATTTGACTCATAAGGAAACATTTTGTAGGTAGACTATACTTGGTAGGGTAAATATTGTACCTCCATCTAATGCCTTAAAATTATTTTTCATTCCCCCTCCCCCACAGGGTTTCTCTGTGTAGCCCTGGCTGTCCTGCAACTTTTTCTGTAAACCAGGCTGGCCTTGAACTCAGAGATCCACCTGCCTCTGCCTCCCAAGTGCTGGGATTAAAGGCGCCACCACCACACCCAACTAGTTTAAGATTTTTGTTTAAATAGTCAGTAAACACTCGAATGGGGGCTGGAGAGATGGGTCAGAGGTTAAGAGCATTGGCTGTTCTTCCAGAGGTCCTGAGTTCAATTCCCAGCACCCACATGGTGGCTCACAACCATCTAAAATGAGATCTGGTGCTCTGTTCTGGCGTGCAGGTGTACATGCAAATACACATTGTATACATAATAAATAAATCTTTAAAAAAAAAAACTCGAATGAGTTGCATGCTGCATTGAAGCTAGTAGTAAAAACGAAGTACAAATGATAAAATATGCCACATCAGGGAAGGAAATAGACTAGACTCCAAGGAACAGAAGGTAGATTTTTGCATTAGCTTGCTGCCCAAGACTGAAGTGTCAAAGTTAAGTCAGCAACATTGAAGTCAAGCCGGGGGTGGGGGCGACAAGGCCAGGGCTTGGAAATCACACTGGACACATGACAGCCTTGGCTTGGGGAAAGCGGCAGGTGGGACACCTTTCTGAAGGGCTGTTATGTAACAGAGCTGCTTTGCAGAGGCGAGCGGGCCTGGCGCTGCGAGAGCAGGGCTCTGTGTGGCACAGCTACCGGGTCCACAGCTGTCAGGGCTAATTAGGGCAAAATGTAGTGCCGCGATCTACGGAGAGTTGGCCAGCAGCTCGCCAGGGACAGGAGCTATTCTAGAAGGCTTTGTCTCCAGCCTGTTTTCTCAAAGTGGGTGAGGTCAAGGCGCCCATTCCCTGGGTAGCTGTGGAGGTGTGGAGCACCCCCAGGGCTGCGCTCCGTCGCCGGGCACGACGGCCGCAGGGCTGGCAGCCGCGCCCCGTCATCTAACCCAGCCCTCGGCCCAACCCTCGCCTCCCGCCCGGGCGAGCCAGCCCAGGCCGTCGCACCCCTCAGGAACTCCTCCGGGCGCCGAGCATTTACCCGGTGAAGACTTGGCCAACAAGCGTTATAAATAAAGTTTCACTCCTTAAAAAAAAAAAAAGAAAAGAGGGGCTGCCCTACCTAGGCTCACACATTGACCAATGAGTGACGAGGGAGGGAGGGAGGAGGCGCGGCCTGCCGGCGATTGGCTGCCGTGGACGCTCGTCAGGCCCGCACCACGCTAACTCGGAGGAGGTCGGTGAGCTAAACAGGGACGGCTGCGGTCCTCCGAGTGCTTCCGGTACGCGCGGGGGCTTTGCGTCCCTACGAGTTTTCCTCGAATACAGTCCAGGCCAGGCGGGACGGCGGACAGCGGGCGAGAAGGACCGCGCCTGCGCAGCCCCCGTTCCCAGCCCTGCGCGCCTCGCCACGCCCCCTCCGCCGGACGCGGCGGCCGGGCGCGCGCGCTCCCGCGTCACGACGTGTCGGCGGCGCCGCGTCCCCGCAGCCAATCAGAAGGCGAGGTCGCCGCGGTCGCCCGCGGTGGCGCGCACGCGCCGGAGCGGCGTGGGGGAGGGAGCGGGGGCTGAATGGAAGCGTGAGCGGGGGCGGGCTGGGCGGCCCGAGCCGCATGAATGAGAAGAACGCGCCCCGCGAGAGACGTCGCCCGCGCCCGCGCCCGGGAGCCAATGGGAGCGCCGCGAGGCCGACCGAGCCGGGGCTGAGGGCCG